TTTTGGTAAGCAACTTTTTTTTTTTTTTTTTTGAGACAGTCTTACTATATTGCCCTTGCTAGAGTGCTATGGTGTCATAGCTCATAGCAATCTCAAACTGTTGGGATTAAGTGATTCTCTTGCCTCAGCCTCCCAAGTAGCTGGGACTACACATGCCCACCACAACACCAATTTTTTTGTTGTAGTTGTCGTTGTTGTTTAGCAGGCCCAGCCAGGTTCAAACCTGCCAGCCCCGGTGTATGTGGCTGGCGCCCTAACCACTGAGCTATGGGTGCCAGGCCCAACCTTCCTTTTCATGGTGGGAATTTTCAGTATCTTGTAAAAATTAATAAAAATATTATTTTCACATGTTCTAATTTTATACACCATTAAGACTTGGTGTTTCCTCACTGATCTAGGTGTGCCAACATTTATTACAATTTTTATGTATCAGATGACCATCAATGCCACTACATCTGTCAGAATTACTGTACTCTGCTCAAGATGCTATCTTGAAAAAATGGTTCAGGAAGTGAGATAAACACTGCTGGTGTCCTTTTCTTATACAACCCACACTGTACTCAGATTCTCTATCCATCTCTCACACAGCCATGGGCTTCAGAGGAAGTTCACCTCTCTGTTAGCCCCAAGGATGGACTAAATGGCCTCGGTGTAACCATATCTTCCCTGCCAACGTTTGATCAGGTATAGGCATGAGATTTAGTTTTGCTTGGAGAAATGGAAGAATTGTGCTGACAGGGCTCTGAAATGTTTCCTTTCCCCAAGAGACAGCTACTGGAAGAGCTGGTTCCTCCTCGAGCCCTCCTCCTCATATTGTCATTTTTGGTTCTGCTGTTAGAACTGCTACAACAGTCTTATTGCTGTGGCCTCAGGATGAACCTAGAGGAAGCCCAATGAATATAGAGCCAAGACACAGAAGGACCAGGATCCTTGAAATTGTGTTGAGCTATTGAATGTCAGTCTTGAAGTTCTCCTCTCTGTACTTTGTTATACAAGATACATTTTAGTAGACATAGAAGCTTATACTTGTAGCTAAAAGCATTGGTTAGCTAATACACTGGCAGTATATTTACTTTTCTGGATTAGTATATGCCTTTTTATGGAGCCTCTGGGAAAACAGTATGTAACTTTTTAGTACTACCGGGCACATAGATAGTATCAGATGTCTGGAAAGTAAGTGAAAATCAAGGTATTTTATTTTAAACTTGCAAACTGTAGTTAAAGTACTTAGGTATACTTCTATATATTTTACCAGGTCCTTATATAGTTATTTGTGTAATTTCTTGTCCATCTCACTAGATTGCAAACTCCTTGAGGGCAAGGACTATGTTTATCTTACGTATGTATGTATGTATGTATGTATTTTGAGATACAGTCTATTGCCCGGGCTATAGTGCCGTGGCATCATCTAGCTCACAGCAACCTCAGACTCTTGTGTTCAAGCAATTCTCCTGCCTCAGCCTCCAGTGTAGCTTGGATTACAGATGTACTCCACCATGCCTGGCTAATTTTTTTATTTTTAGTAGAGATGGGGTCTTATTCTTGCTCAGGCTGGTCTTGAATTCCTGAGCTCAAGGGCTCTTCAGGCCTCCCAGAGTGCTAGGGATATGGCCACAAGCCACTGCCTATGGCCTACATTTATCTTGTTCTTTACTACTCCAAAGGCTAGAGCACTGCTTGAGGTGGAGGAAGTGTTCAACAAAATTTTGTATGAACAACACCAACAAAAATATGAATAAGATACTCTAAATACATGGGTCTATTTTCTGGACAGTGGATCTGACAGTAAGCTCAGTATATAGAGAAAAAAATCTGACACAGGTAACAGGAAAAAAATGCTACTTAATAACTCTATATTAGGTAG